TCAAAAACAAACATAAAATCCTACAAATTGCCTTTCCCTATTCATTAAATAAGAGCCTCCTGTGGGCTACCGGTGGTTTGGGGGTCCTGGTATGAAAAATGTTTGGTGCTCTTTCTTAGAGCACATCACATAATGCTCACAGTCCAATACTTTTGAAAGTGTTTAAGCTCAAAAAGTTTTGAGTTTTCCACTTATAATAAATTGACGAAAATGTATATAAGGTGTAAATAAATTGTGAGTATTTTTGCTCCGTGAGTCAGAATAAATACCAGTGATATTTGGTTTCCAACATTCTTTAAAATTCCTCAACCCAGGCTCATTCTAAAAATGTACCACTATATACATTTCTGGGAAGTGCCAAATATATATGTTCTAGAAGCTACTTCTTTTTTTTTTTTTAAGCTACTTCGTTTTTGTTTTTGTGAATCCACCACAGGCCGCTATGTGCGCTTTTTGAGATCTCGGATTTCTCTCGCAAGTGTCATTTGCGTAAATCTGCTAGAGGTCGGTGTCGACTGACTGTTCCACCTCCTTTCATAAACCCAACCAATAGTGTTTCCAAAAGCACAGATTGACCCGCTTCCCTAACCCAACCGACAATTTTAAAAAGCAACCCAGAAAAAGAAAAGCCCTCGCCTTTACCGCGTTTTTCAGATTTTACAACATTCTCACCCAGTTATCTAATTGTTTTTGGGTTTTTTTTTTTTTGCTTAACCCCTTTTGGAACCATAATTCACCAGACTCGAACCCCGTCATCAAGGTAAACTCTGCCTTAACTTTGCGTCTTACGTTCACAGAAGTACATGGCGAGCTAAATGGACAAACTGGTAACAGTGGCAAAGCCGTCCATACAGAGGTAAGTGGTCAGCTGGTAAATGAGAAAAGGAACGGTGTCATACCACCCCGTAACATTCATTTTATAGAGGAAATGCAGCCATAGATAGCAATGGGTACATAATTCGGGATCTCCAGAAACGTATATAGGGCTACTTTTTTAGAATGACCCGATGTTGGAATTCCTTTATCAATGTTCCACATGAGAAAGGAAGTGATATGGGTTTTTATCAATAAGAGGGTGAGTAAATGACAGATCACTTTGGGATGAATGATCCCTGTAATGTAATATTTAGAAAAGGCATTGATTCATTCCATTAAACTGGGTATTAGGCAGATTTTGTGAATAAATCACAAATAAATTCTGGATCCACTGGTGTACATGAAGATGACTCATTTTTGACTTGAGGTACATTAAATGACGACAGAATTGTGAATGGCCTAAGCTGACACTTGACCTTAATATCTGTTGAGAGCTCTCACTAGGAGAAGAATCTCTTCTGGTGAATCCTATTTGTCTTTCTCCCTCTGAGACGTGTGCATCAGGTAGAGCAAAGCCAGAATGCAAACCTGAGAAGGTCTCAGTAGTTTCAGGAGAAGCGTTCAGCATTCACACAGTGCTCCGCGATTCTCCCCTCGGCTTTGTGCGGTTGAGTATTGAAAATTTGCCGTTGCCGCAGTCAGTTTTCTTCGAGTCTGTCTTTTGTTCCAGTGGCTGAGCTCAGGTGCACAGAACAGACCTCTCTCTCTCTCTCTCTCTCTCTCTCTCTCTATGCTTCTCATTTTTCCGCTCAGCACAGACTGGATATCAAAACTGCCAATTTGCATATGAAATTGGGTGGAAAGCAAAATTAGTAGAGCTGCGTTGAGAAAAACCAGCTACACACACATGTACACACAGACACATTTGTCTCTTTCGCCACGGTTCTACAAAGTTTGACTGCACGGAGAGACTCTGCGGAGTGTTGGAATTAGAAACTCGTTCACGTGATGAATATTACTGCTGTTCATTAGCATGAGTAATTAGGTCAGCACAATCACGTGGCCTTGTTCATGAGTGTTGTGTGTACAACTACTACATGGCACTTTCAGGGGAAGGTTGAGACGAGCTAAGTGATTTCTTTTTTTGTATCCCTGTTGAAAAAGAAACCATCTTAGATTTTCAATTTAATGTTTATAATGGGAATTATATTGGTTTTAATGAAAACTATAATGGTCCTTTGGGTCTCTGCTGGTAATTTTTATCCTTTTATTGGTGGTTTGTTGAAACCTATAAATCCTAATGGAACATGCCTCATTACACAATAGAAAACATTAAAATTTATAGTTTTTAACTGCTAAAATTTGATGGTTTGTAATGTTTTAGTAATAACTGTAGTGGAAACCATTAGAACTTCTGTAAGAGGTTTCTATTGTTTATTTTTTTTCAGTAGGGATATTTGTATGTGTGTGCGTAAATCCTTTAAGCTGTCAACTGTGTCTTTTATCCGATCATAAATTGACAAACAGGGCTTGACTCTACAGAAATGTCACTATGTCAAGCGCCTATTGTGATGCGGTTGGAGATTTTTAAGCAGATTATCTTTATATGACCTACAGACATTTGCTAAAAGATTGTCACAGACATTGTCACAGAGTCCCGATCACGCTTTTAAAGTGCCATCAGCTACCACACTCTGGTCGGTGTTATTTAAGCGGCCTTCGAATAGCCTCTTCTAGGCCTGCCAGCTCGCTGTGCTCCTCTGGGACAGGCGCAGGATGTTGTTTGATGGCTTTTATCCGCAGACCACAAAGAAGGCTCTGTGCTAAACTCTGCAAGTTATTGCTTTAAGAGGGAAGTTTTACAGAGAGGAGATTCTTTCCTTTTTCCCCCTTGAGTCTTTGTTTTGGGATGGATAACTTGTTTCACAGAGATCCCTTTGAGAGTCTCTGTGTTTGGCAACCCCCACGAGGATCCCAGCGTGTTTTTCTCTACTGGTAGCAGGTAGTGAACTCGCCTCCCGTTAGAGACGCTTCACTGCGCAGTTGCTTGAACAACGGCGCCACTACAAGGTGCTTAAAGGAACTGCCGTTTTGGTATAAAGTTCAGGCTGTTTAGCGAGTTCATGCAACTCGGGGTCATTCAGGGTCTTTTTTTGGACTAAAGGGCCGAATTCCAATTTATTTCCATTTTCCTTGTTTTATTTGTCTGGCTGGGTCAGTTGGCATTTCTGTGTGGAGTTTGCATGTTCTCCCCATGTGTGCGTGGGTTTGCTCTGATTGCTCTGTTTTGCCCCACAATCCACATGTGCTTTACTGTAAGTCAGTTGGGTAAGCTAAAAATTGTGAATTGCATTATGGGATCTTGATCTCTGCTCTGTCCACTTTTGATGTTAAAAATTCAACTCTACCGTTGAACAAAGTGATCCATCGACATTTTAGTAGTTTGGAATTATATAATATATAAGAAATAATGTGGAGATAAATAAGTCTGTAAAATAAGAGAAAATGCACAGGCAGTTTATTATTACAAGTTTTTTTTATACCATAATACAACACAAACCCAGACAATATATCACTTTAATCTATTAAAATGTTAATAAAAGTAAAAATGTCTAACTTTTTTGGAAGAAAGATCAAGGCCTCGTAATGCAATTCAAAAGCATAGATAAATAGGGGAAAATAAGAAAATAAAAACATGAATCATAAATACAGAAAACTGCTAATTTATGAATATATTCACCAGTGTAGGATTGGCTGTATAATTTATAAAAATTAAACAATTAAATGAAAATTTAATTTAATTTTTAGTTCTGTACACTTATTTACAAACTGTGAAACCACAGAAATACATGACAAAAAATACCTTAAGAAAACTGTTTTTTGTTTAAAATTATTATAATATTTGTATGAGTAAAATACAGAAGTAAAGTGTTACATACATGTAGAGTCAATATTTAGAATATTGGCTTTATAACAATCACGATTACAATTTGTGAAGTTTATTTAACCAATTTCGAGAAGATCACATGCTTATGATTGACCACAGCTGGTCCCACATTAGCTAATGCATGATTCACCAATCGGATGATTCCTAACTTACTATAAATAGCCAGAGTTCCTTACCTCAGTCAACCGAGTCTTGAAGAATCCTCACTTCCAGCCCTCTTTTCTATTCCTCGTTAGGGTGGCCCAGTGGTTAGCACTGTTGTCTCACAGCAAGAACGTCATTGGTCTATGTCTCTAACAGGCCAGTTGTTGTTTCTGTGCAGAGTTTACACGTGCTCTGTGCTCTCGTGGGTTTCCCCTATTTTCTATGGTTTCCTCCCACAGTTCAAAAACTTGCAACATAGGTGAATTGACCAGACCAAATTAGCAGTATAGATGAGCTCTTAATCAGCAGGATGTCTCTAATCCTTAGTAGTGGAGTTCTCGAGACCTACAGATGTCACAACTTTAATTTGTTCCTTTTGTTCCGGTGGTAGTTGGTGCGCCAGCAGTTTTTGACCGCTGGGTGGCACTTTAACCACAGATATTCAGCTTTGTACCTGAGCTCAAACTCCCCTCTCGCCCTGCAAATGGTAGGGAGCCCCAGGCTCAAGGATCTTATGAGCTCAGGGCTCTCTCCCAGGACAGCATGCCAAACATGCTTTAGAATCAATCATCAGCTAAGTGTGAACTCTTGAAGTAAATCTTTAACATCTAAAAACCATGTGGCAACTCATTTGGACATCACTTTTGGTCACTACTGCGTGTAGTGTTAAATGTAAATAGGGGTCAATAGTTTTATTAACCTTATACAAGTTGAATTCAACCATTACAATATGGGGAACATGATGGACAAAAGTGAAAAACTCCAAACTTGGCAACCAAACTAAAAAGTCAAACTGTAGTTTGTAATAAAAAATGCACACAAAAAAAAAACACAAGTGCAAGAACTAAAATAGACAAAGTAATAATATTGAACTGTTTCTCTCTTTTATTCTCCTGCACATTTCTCAATATGCATGTTTCAATGTTTTTCACAAATAAAATGCAGAATTCACACAGAATGATCAGAAATACATCAACATGGGCAAAGTGTAAATTGTGCGTGGCTGGTCATCACTTTTTGCCACTAGTGTATGCAACTAACCAACATACATCCTGACATGCAGACACTAAATATCACATAATTTTGTTTGTAGGTGATCTTGGTGAGCTCCAGCATCAATGAACGTGACCAGATGCTTTTCATCAGCACAGATGAAGGTGCGTCCTTCCAGCGGCAGCCCGTCTCCTTCACCGTGGACTCTCTCCTCTTCCATCCATCTGAGGAAGACAAACTTCTGGCTTACAGCAAAGAGGCGAAGGTCAGTGATGAAGGTGTTGTCCAGCACTCAAATACAGTCAAAAAACAATGACACAGACTGAAATTCGTGTTCTGAACCAGTTACTCACAAGACCACAATATGTCTTAATTCCGGCTGAATGTTTGTAGTTTTTTTCTTGTCAGACTCAACTGCCTGAATTAGTCTTTGTGGCTTGTTTCAGTATTAATGATTTAGGTCTCGGCTGGCTGCCTTGACCAACTGTTCTCAACACATTTCTCACCCAGCTTTGTTTATTGCTATGCTTTTTGCTCTCCAGCATATTGGCATCCTCATTATTAGAGTTATGAGCACACAGTTTGGCCTTCAGGCCATGGTTGTCTCTCACTAAAGAGCATGTTTACATTGTTAACGGCTGGGTGAGCTATGAGGCAAAAACTCTATGTGTGAATGTGTGTGTGTGTGTGTGTGTGTTTATATGCAGTTGATGAATTGCTATAACCTCTAGATACAGCTTGCAACATGCCGCATTTATCATTGCTTAGATGAAATGCAAAAGACAATGAAAAGTGTGCGTTTGTCTGTGTGTCGTTGTTTATGGTACAGTTTGGTGGGTATTCTCCATGCAAGTGGTGATCAATGTAATCTCATTACAAGGATGATCAATTGGGGACAGATGCACACGCACACAAACAAACTCAACATATGTGATTTTAATTGGTATATATGGACAGTTTCCCACAAACAAATCGTTATATACAGTATGCAATGAATCTAATTTTCATTAGCTTGAGAATTTGCAAAGTGTGCTTTAATCTAATCCACCCTACAAAATCAATGTTATGTGCAGTGCTTGAAGAGTTTACTGACAGTAAATACTGATTTATTTCTCTGTCTTTGTTTTTCAGCTGTATATCTCCACTGATCTGGGCCACAAATGGACTCTGCTTCAGGAGCGCGTTACCAAAGACAGAGTTTTCTGGTGATTATTTCACTCTACATTACTTAAAGTGAACCACATGTTATTTCAAACCTGTCTGGTTTCTTTAGAGACGCATCAAATCAGATGTTAAGCAGAATGTCTGCGCTACTCTTTTCCTAATGATGAAGACAAGAACCTAAAACAGCACATATACATTATAAAAGAAAGATGATGAGCTGTAAAAGTTCAATACCTCAACAAACATATTGTAAAAATGGTCCATGTAACGGTCTGGTATACTAAATGACAGGAAACATGCTTAAATATAAACTCTTTTTTACAAAAGACATTGCTTAACTGGTCATGGACCATGGAAAAGGGCAGCTTGGAAGTTTCCGGGTTGGCAGTTTTTCTAGTTCCGGGTTGGACCCACTTTTGCCTTCAGAACTGCCTAATCCTTTGTGGCATAGATTCAGCAAGGTACTGGAAATATTACTCAGACATTTTGGTCCAGATTGACATGAAAGCATCATGAAGTTGCTGCAGATTTATTGCCTGCACATCCATGATGTGAATCTCTTGTTCCACCACATCCCAAAGGTGCTGTATTGGATTGAGATCTAGTGACTGTGGAGGCCATTTGAGTACAGTGAACTTATTGGCATGTTCAAGAAATCAGTCACTAGATGATTTACGCTTTATGACATGGAGCGTTATTCTGCTGGAAGTAGCCATCAGAAGATGTGTACACTGTAGCCACGTCAAGTTTGGAAGTGTTGTGCGTTCAGAGATGCTCTTCTGCATACCTTGGTCATAACGAGTAGTTTTTTGAGTTACTGTTGCCTTACTATCAGCTTGAACCAGTCTGGGCATTCTCCTCTGACCTCTGGCATCAACAAAGCATTAGTGCCCACAGAACGTTCGAGGTTACTAAAGTAACCCTTCGTTCCCCGAGGAGGGGAACGGAAGCACTATAAGTGGATTTGATTGTAAAATCCACGCATTGGGAGGTTCGGTTCAGAAGCTACTCGTCTGAAAGAGTATTGAACGGGCCAATTAAGAATGAATTGGCAGCGCAAGCCTGCGCAGGTGAGCGGCATAAGCAATCAACTGAGTATATAAGCTCACCTGGCGCAGCAGACGCTATCCTTTTTAAGCTGAAGAGACTTTCAACAGCTAAGGGACAGTCATTATGGCGACGGAGTATAGTGCTTCCGTTCCCCTCCTCGGGGAACGAAGGGTTACTTTAGTAACCTCGAACGTTCCCCTTCGGGGGGAACTTCAGCACTATAAGTGGATTTGATTGTAAAATCCACGCATTGGGAGCCCATTGAAAGCGCCATAATGACTGCACCTTACCAACACCCCCGATGAGGAGATAGTCAAGCAAGCGTGACGCACCCACATCATGGGGGGCGCGGTCCTCCAACGTGTCCCTGGCCCTAATTTATCCTACTTCAACAGAAGTTTTACGGATTTATATATATTTTTTGGGGTGTCGTGAGCATCTAGATAATTCTAGGAATACGACAGTACGTTGGGAAGCGTGCAATCCCGATAGGGAGGACGCTGCGGAGGCCATCCGTTACCCAAGGGGGGATAGATGGCAGAATTTACATATGGACTAGCCCTAAAAAGGGGGAGTACGCATAGCAAAAGAGTGGTTAGCGGGGAGGGAAGACACGGGTCCGCCCAGGGGGGGGGGGGACTTAACCGTGGCTGAATAAGCATATGGGATCGCCTAGTGGGGACCACGCATAGCAGACACCTTTACCCAAAACGCGGGCTGACCAGCGGGCAGACCTACAACGTAGTGGGCCAGCAAGTGACTCCTCCGCTGAGTCAGTGCTGGGGGCCACGGAGGAATCTGCAGGGCTCACCTGACGGGGAACTTTACTGACAGATAAAAAGGCGCACGTATCTCCGTGTTAGGGAAAATGGCGCAGCAAGCGTGTTTCAACACCCTACCGAATTGTTTCCTCAATCACCAAGGGTTACCTAATACCCTTGAGGAAACCGGCTCCACTCGCAGATTGTAAAACCTTGCAAATGTGTTGGGTGTCACCCAGCCCGCAGCTCTACAGATGTCTGTTAGAGGGGCGCCGCGTGCGCGCGCTCGAGAGGATGCGAAGCTCCGAGTGGAGTGCGCACGCGCTCTCGGGGGACGCGGCTCATCTCGGCTCTGATAGTGAAAGAAAGGCATCCACAATCTAGTGGGAACTTATTTCGGTACGGCACTTCCCTGCTGCCGACCGCTATAACAGACGAAGAGCTGCTCAGATGATCTAAACTCTGAGTGCGGTCCGGATAATACGCAAAACGCGAACTGGACAATAAATAAGGGCTGGGTCTGCCTCCTCCGAGGGCAGCGCTTGCAGGCTCACTACCTCGTATTAAAACGGAGTGGTAGGAACCTTGGGCACATATCGCGGGCGGGGTCTCATACGTGAGAGAAGCCAGCCCAATTACAGGCACGAGTCACTGACCGAAAAATGCCTCCGGGTCCCCGACCCTCTAATCGATATCAACGCGACCAGCAGAGCTGTCTTCAGGGACAGAAATATACTGAGTCGAGGATCGAAGGGATCTGACGCGAGGGCGAGATCCTAAGAGGGCATGAGAGGGGGCGGGGTGGATTAATTCGCTTAACGCCCCTGAGGAACCGGATGATGAGGTTATGCGTTCCCACGGTGCTGCCAGCCACCGCGTTATGAGAGCGGAGATGGCAGCCACGTAACCTTGAGTGTGGAGGGCGACAGCCTGCTCTCCAACTTCTCTCGGCGTAAAGAAAGCACAACGCTGATCTGGCAAATTACGGGGGTCTTCTCAGCGAGAGACACACCATTCAGTGAATAGACTTCACGTCAGGGCATAGGCGCGCTCGGGGAGGGGGCTCTAGCCCGAGTGACGGTATTAGCCACCGCAATCGGAGGTTACCCAAGTCTTCCTCGCGTCTAAAATCTCTTCAAAGATCGGCGAGGGTGCCAGGTGGTGCCCTGTCCCTGAGAGAGTAGGTGCTCTCTCGAAGGGACTGCCAGGGGAGGGCTATCGCGAGGGAGAGCTCTGACATCCAGGTCCGGTTGAGCCAGAGGGGCGCAACCAGCAACCTGTTCCTCGTCCTCCCTGACCATGCACAGTAACTGCGCGAGCAGGCTCACTGGGGGAAACGCGTATTGCGCGTGCCCCGAGGCCAGCTGTAAGCCAGTGCATCCGTGCCGAGAGCACTCGGTCAGGGAAAGAACAACTGGCAATGAGCGATCTCGGGGGAAGCAACAGATCGATCTGGGCTTCCCCGAATCGCGCCCATATCAGCTGAACAGACTCGGGGTGGAGTCTCCATGCTCCAGGACGCAAGGCTGCCGTGAGAGCGCATCGGCTGCACGGTTGAGCTTGCCTGAATATGAATGGCGTGCAGCGATTTCAGCCGCGGATGACTCCAGAGGAGCAGACGGCGGGCGAGCTGAGACATGCGGCGAGAGCGCATACCCCCTATACGGCTGATATACGCCACCGCCGCCGTACTGTCCGTCCTGACCAGCACGTGTTGCCGCTCCAACACCGGAAAAAAACTGTGGAGAGCGGGGAACACTGCCAACAGCTCCAGGCGATATGCCAATGCAACTGGGTACCTTTCCACAGGTCCGCAGCCGCATGCCCGCAACGCACAGCCCCCCAGCCCGTGTTGGAAGCGTCTGCTGAAACGACAACAAGACTGGACGCCTGTTCTAGAGACACCCAGGCCTGTAGGAACGAGGGGTCGCTCCAAGGGCTGAGGGCGCGGCGACACAGCGCAGTAACAGAGACTCGGTGTGCGCGCGCGTGCCATGCGCGTCTGGGGACTCGATCGTGAAGCCAGTGCTGAAGTGGTCTCATATAGAATAATCCGAGCGGCATGAAGCGGCTGCGGATGCCATATGCCCCAGGAGCCTCTGAAATTGTTTCAGTGGGACCACTATTTTACTGTCGAGCTCTCTCAGACAGTACAGCATCAGCTGAGCGCGCTCTCCGGAGAGGCGCGCTGCCATGGTGACCGAGTCCAGCTCCAGCCCGAGAGAAGAGATCCTCTGCACGGGGGCGAGTTTGCTCTTTTCTCGGTTGACCTGAAACCCCCACAGGTGGAAGTGCCAGAGCACTTTGTCTCTGTGCATAATCAACTCTGTGCATAATCAAAAGAGAGGGCAATTCAACCAGTCGTAAAGAAATTGAGTATGCAGATGCCCGCGAGCCGAAGGGGCGCTGAGGCACCCTCCGCGGGCTTGGTGAGGACCCGCGGAGACAGAGAGAGCCCGAAGGGGAGGGCTTTGTATTGCCAAGCTCGACCTTCAAACGCAAACCGCAGAAACTGTCGGTGGCGAGGAAGAGTGGAGACATGGAAATACGCGTCCATCAGGTCTAATGCTGCAGACCAACCCAGAGGACGAACGCACCGGAGGATGCGCTTCTGCGTGAGCATTCTGAACGGCAGCTTGTGCAGGCAGCGGTTCAAAACGCGCAGATCTAGGATTGGCCGTGACCCACCGCTCTTTTTGGGCACGATGAAGCGTGGGCTGTAAAACCCGCTCTCCATCTCGGCTGGAGGGAGCGGCTCGATTGCATCCTTCGCCAGGAGGACAGCAATCTCCTCTCGCAAGACAGGGGCGGACAGGGGACTGACCCTGGTGAATACACACCCGTGACTTGGGGGGCCCTTTCGCGAACTGAATCGCATAGCCGAGTCTGATTGTGCGTATGAGCCACCGCGAAGAGCTGGCCCGCGCTAACCAGGCAGGCAGAGCTCTCGCTAATGGACTCATCGCTACAATCGCTGACGTACCAGCAGTGGGGCAGCGCGGAGTGGGTGTGCTGATCCGGGAAGCTCGCGGGTCCCACGGAAAAGCTGGAGGTGAGATATTTGCTCTCACTCCAAACCCGAGCTCCGGAGGGGAGGCTCGAGGGGTGGGAGAAAGGAGACCGTCCTCCCAGCGCTCGTGAGCCACTGGCGAAACGCACCGAATCTGCAAGCTAGAAAGCATAGCGTCCCAGACTGGCAGATTTCGGGCTGTCACATCTGGGGAAGTGAA